AAAAAAAAAAAAAAGATTTGCTATACAATCTTGCATGCTGCTTTTGGACCATTATGTGGCAATGATGATTTGGTTGTTTTTCGGCTGAAGAGAACATGACTTGACTTTGTTTCAAACTGTGCAAATATGTGCATGAATACGTGTTGCACAAGCTGTCTGTCTCATGTTTCTCCAACTGTTGGTTGTAAAAGCTCCAATGCTACTGCTGTCGAAGTGTATCTTTATAAACAAACTATTCTTTAGAGTGGTAAACTGTGTTTTAAGTCTTAGGGGTAGATTTTTTATGTGATTACACGTACTTTCAAATTTATAAAGATGATATACTCATGCCTTGTTAAACAATGAGACACCTTTGGAAAGAAAATGGAAAATCTACATGTTGCTTTTATTAGGCTGTCTACATTTCATTTACAATGCTTTTTTCTGCTAGCTGGACATTTTTGATTTCTACATATATTAACTTTAAAGGTAATAAAGGTATTTGTTTCAGTTCTTGTAGTTCATTTGCATGTTTGGAAATTAAATATTACAATGAAATAGATATAGAAATCAGAAATAGATAGAAATCAGAAGCGCTGAAGGTGCTTTCAAAAATTTGGTGGAATTGTTTGAAGGATTTGAGTTGTTGAGATTCAAGACTTTTCCTGAGTTAAAGAAAGTGACGAATAGAGTGAAATGGATATGTTATTGCTGTTCACTGGCTGGCAGTGGTAAAGAAGTATTTGGATGCTTTACTTAGGTAGAAGTACCAACACAGCAATATAAAAATAATCCATTACAAGTAAAAGGGCTGCATGAAAATCTTATTTAAGTAAGTACTAGCGGCAAAATGTAGTTTAAGTATTACACCAAAAGGATGGTTTTATCCCTCTGATTGATATATCATTACAAATTACATCATTACATTATTAATACCAAAGCTACTGTTGTAGCTATTGAAGGTTTAAACTACTTTATCTGCCGTTTCAGAGACAGCAGATGATGAGGACTCGTCACATGATTCATTGGAGAGAAGAAAAAAGACAAATTCTGACACACAAATCTGTTTTTAGTTTTGCCATTTTTTTTCTCGATATCTTGATAAATATTGAATAACTGAACATTTATTTATTTATTGACTACAAAAAGGACTAGATGACAGATAAGTTAATAAACTCATCTGTCATCTAGTCCTTTTTGTAGTTCATGATACATAGTTCATTCAAGTTTTGAATAAAGCAAAAAAAAATAAAAAATCAGAAACAACAACTAATACTTATTTCAGACAAATAATGTGTTTCCACGTTTTCTTCTGATATGTACCATCCATGGGAACTCTGTAAGTGTGAAATGTGGGGCAAACAGAGATGTTCCTGCTGGGTTAATTACCGTAGTGGTCGGAATGGTCTCTCCCAGCTTGTAACCTTGCAACTCCAAACTGCAGTCTCAGTCAACACTCCTGCCTAAAATGACTTCATTACCTCGTCTGTACTCCGACCATAAAACCAGAGCAACACAAATTTTTCAAGTCTTTCTGCAAAAAGAGTGTGGCCTCCTCTGGAAAAGTCAGCTCAAGTTGCCCTGCGGAGGAATGCTGTTGGTCCCGTAAAGCTCCCCAGTGACCAATCAACTGTAATTGTAGCCTGGATTTACCACGACACCACCCTTGCCAGTCTAGGCATCCTGGCTGGTGGCCATTTTATTTTGCAAAGGCCTTAAATCCACCCCTGCAATTTCAGCTGCCTTTCTCTCTCATTGAAACGTCTTACATGCATTTGCTAAAACGGGATGAGAATGGGCTTTGATGGCGTTATTTTGAGAGACCTTGCAGAATGCGTGGGACTGAACTGTGCCGCTCACCTCATTGTGTTGCAACAGGAGGAGATTTTAGCTACGATTCCTCTCCAGGAGCTGTCATCAATATCAGAGCTGTTTGTCTTTTTAGTGATGTAAATAACAACATGTTTATGCCAAGCACATTCATAGTGACAGTAATGAATCTTTTTTTTTTTTTTTTTTAACAGTATATTGCCTCAAGTTGTAGTTTCAGCCATTGTTTTAGATTATCTGTAAACCAGAATATTGCACCCTAAAAGCTGCCTTCTTAAATGTTTTGTCTCTGATTTCAATCTTACATTTGAATTGAATTGAAATAAAATGTAGAAATTGTAGCTATACATTTAATATTTCATCCATATAGATTATCATTGACGCAAACATGTCACATGACAAAACCGGTCAAATGTCATTTCTATCGTGTTTTTTTTTTTTTTTTTTGGCTGTCCTTGGCTCTCTGGAAACCCCTCCCTAATTCCATAGTACTGTCTGAGGCTTCCCTTGGATTTGCAAGTGGTATGAGTCACAATAACCATTTAAAAGACTTTCTCATTAACCAGAACTTCCATCTCCATGTGTTTAAACTAGGCCACGACACTACATGTAGTGTTAAGTCTGTAAAATGCATGTCATGCTGCTCTCTTTCTGTGTCCTGGTCTTGCTTATGCCCGGTCCATGTTTTACGGCACCCACATTTATTCCGGAGGAAGAGAGCACTCCTTCACCAGAACCACAGGTTGACTTGAAGCTGGCCACAGTAAGTGCATAATTGGACGAGCTGCATTACAAATGTTTGTGAGTGGACTGCATGTGACTTAATTCTATTTTTCAATGCAAAATGGTGCTAATTTAAAGGTATCTCTAGTAGTGAGGTTAACTACCTTGCAAGGATACATTTCTGCCTGCATGTATGTTGAGATAGCGTTTTTATTACATTTGTGTTTGTGTGGGTGGGGGGCGGAGGTAAGTAGATGCACTGCCCTCTGAGTCTTTGTTGTTATATTAAATATTTTAGTAGATTCTTTCTTTATTGTGTCTTTTCTCATGCCAGTTTTCTTTCATCCATCTTTTATTGTTGTTTTTCTTTGGAGCATGTTGCTTGCTAAGTTTTCATTTGGTTTATTGCTATGAATAGATTTTTGTTGCAGAATTTAACTGATGATGCTTTAAGTCTAAACATCCAAAAGCAGTGCTTTTGGACCTTTAAGTATAAGTTTTGAGTTCCCCACAACTTATATGTAAAGTTTTAAAGTTGTGCATCATTTAAATGCATGCTGTGATGCAGGAATAAACTTTTGCATTAAATGTGTTAGAGAAGAATGACTGATTTGCCTGACTGTTTAGTGTGAAATGCTTTCTGATGTGACTCTTACTTCTACTGATAGGACTATCTTCAGCAGTACTACAACCTGCAAAAAGATCCTTCAGGGCGCATTAAACGGAGCGGGCCCTCCTTTATCTCCAAGGTGAAAGACATGCAGATTTTCTTTGGGCTCAATGCAACTGGTGTCTTAGACTCTGATACCCTGGAGGTCATGGGGAACCCTCGATGTGGTGTTCCAGATGTGGAGGAGTACAGTCACATCCAGGGGACACGGTGGAATAAGAATGTCATCACCTACAGGTATTGACTGTGGTCACAAAGAATGATGTTCAAGCTACGGTCAGTGTTTTTATGTTTAAAGTGGGGTAAGGTTAAAACCTGTATATAAATGAAATTATGAAGTACTGTTTAACCTTAAATGAACTTGCAAAAAATATAAATAAATCAGCCTGGTTGTTCCTAATATGCAAACCCTGCCAATACGTGAGAAACATTTTTAAGCCAGCAGGCAATAAAACCTTTGGCAGACATAAGGAACAGCAACTGTCACAAATCATTATGGCTAACATTATGGGTTTGGGACTCCTGCCTCTGAGAGTTATTATGGGCTTGTCCCAGTGCCAAGTTGACCATACATGCTTGAACTTATGTAACACTGTCTGAGACGTCCTGATCCATTTTGATGCAAGTTCTGTTTGAGGCATGCCTGAGGCTGGATTACATGCAGAACAAATATATAATTAAGGAGAAAACTAAGACAGGCGGCTATTGTTATTGTTTTCAAATATAGGAGTTATTTTTCATAGGGTTGCAAAAATGGTACATGTTTTGGTAACTATGGGCTTGTGGTTGCTACTATTCTTGAAAAAGTACAAAAGCTGGTATGATGTTGTGACATGAATCCTTTTATTAGGTTCCTATTTATTCAGAACAATACTGTGTATGAATATTTAGCAGCTAACATGTAGTTGTTGCTGTTGCAGCATTGGCAGGTACACCAGAGATTTGCCTCGCAGGACTGTGGACTCTTTGATTGAGTCAGCATTCAGCGTTTGGGCCAGAGCCAGCGGTCTGACGTTTGTCAGGTCACACACCCGCAGCGCTGACATCATTGTGGAATTTGTTACTCACGGTGGGTTTTTGTTTTGTTTGGTTCAGTACAGTACAGGTCAGAAATTGAAGATGACAGAAAGAAAATGAGTAGATATGTTACTATATTATGTAAAATAAACTGTGCATGGGTCTACACATGTTGAACTTCAGTAGTGATTTAACTGCTAACCAGAGTAGTGTCATCATCTGACTCCTGTACTTGCCAGACTCATTTAGATGAGGTGAACAGAGGCCTGTAATTTCCCTTTGGCATGAAAGAAAATGGTTTTCTCTGTGGTTTCTTTCATGTTTGGTCTGCACTGCATTATGTAGATCATGGTGATTTGTATCCATTTGATGGACCCAGAGGCACACTGGCTCATGCTTTCGGTCCAGGGTTAGGTGTCGGAGGGGACACGCACTTTGATGACGATGAACGCTGGACGGCGGGAGAAACAGGTGCCAAATTAAATCACATTGAATGATGTTGCATTAAAAACTACATAAGGCATCTATCTAAATGCACTTTACTTTGTGCTATCGCAGGTTTTAATCTGTTTGTGGTAGCAGCTCATGAGTTTGGCCATGCTTTGGGCCTTAAGCATTCCAGAAACCCAGGATCACTGATGTACCCAACCTACACGTCCTTACATCCTGCCAACCTGTTATCCAGAGAAGATGTAGCTAATATCAACGCACTTTACAGTAAACCGTTTTGAAAATTATAATTATATTTTTTACTCTTGATGTTATGTCCCACTTAAGTGATTAATAACCCTGTATTGATGTGTGTTAGGTCCTGTCAGAAGTCATCCAAATTACACTTTCAGGGGCTCTCAGTTTAACCCCTGGCTGTCCGGCTCACTGTTCCCCCGACACATGCAGGACAAATGTGCTCCAGACATGACCTTTGACGCAGTGTCTACTCTTGGAGATGCCACCTTCTTTTTCAGAGACAGGCATGTTGATTGATAACATTTTTTTGCTTTGATTTACATGAATATACACCCTCCGGCCACTCAATTTTAAACCTGAAAAATCTACACAATTAAAAATAATTCAGGGTACCTTTTGCCACCACTTAATATAATGCATTGTTGCAAAAAAAGACAAAAAAAACAACAATTATTGATTTAGATAAACCTTTTAAGCTACAAACATTGTTTTGATGAGTTTTGTTGATGTCATTGTGTTATTGCTGGTAACTACCCCAACTTGACATTAGTAATTGGTTTTTAAAAATTCAAGCTACCCCAAGTCAATATAATTTGCTGGTTGAACAAAATTTCATTAGATGTTGACATAACTCAAAAAGACTGATGCAAACCATTGTGTTTATTTGTTTTGTTGAGCCTAAACATTTGTTTTCAACTATAATGCAATCCCATACACAAAGTCTAGTTTTACAAAGCTTCTAAATTTTCAGGTTTTGTTGTCAAAAAGGTATTGATTGAACATTATAGTCATACTGGGTAGTAGTGGTGCACTGAACTGCATTACTGAACTGCAAGTGTTGCAAATATTTTGTCCACTTCCACCATTTACATGGGGAGGGTGAAATATCAGCACCCCCTCTAAATGTGATGCTCCTTTGTAAAAGTAGAACTTATGGCAGAGATGCATCAGATTTCATAGGGGATAGGAAAATGTCCTCTTTGGAAAATGAAAAATGTGCCATGTAATGCTGCCCCAAGTACATTCAGAAATGCTGTTACATGCAACATACATTAGTCATTGAAAAAAAAATGTGTTTTTATAGAATTTTATGTTTTTATTTTACTTAACTGACAATATTTTCTCCCACTAGATATCTCTGGATCAAGCATAATGCACAATATGGTATCAAAGAAGGTCCCATCTCCAACTTTATGCCTAAGGTTGAAACCAGCATCAGCGCTGCCTTCTGGGTACCTCGCAGATCCACCGCTTACCTTATTCATGGTAACTATTTAGTGCTGCAGCAATCATCCATCATCTATACACCACTTAATCCTCACTAGGGTCATGGGGGGGCTGGAGCCTATCCCAACTGACTTAGGGCGAAGGCAGGGGGCACCATGGACGGGTTGCCAGTCTATTGCAGGGCCACACTTAGAGACTGACAACCAAGCACACTCACATTCACACCTATGGACAATTTAGAATCACCAGTTAACCTCAACATGTCTTTGGACCTTGTGGGAGGAAGCCGGAGAACCCAGAGAGAACCGATGCTGCATGGGGAGAACATGTAAAAGCCACGCAGAAAGATCCCGAGTGTCCTCACTGGGACGTGAACCGGTGACCTTCTTGCTGTGAGGCACTGGTGCTTCACCTTGCAGCCCTCTGCACAGTTAGACAATTAATAATCCTCAAAAAATAGAAGCATCTATTTTGATGTTAGTAGCTGCCCTGTAATTTAAAAACACAAATAAATTCAACCATCAAGTAGCTGATGAAATCATGAATTTTCCAACATATTCAATGTGCTAGCTAACAAGTAAAATATTTTGTATTTCATGTAAAAAGAAATCCATATTTGTAAGGATGTTTTTCCTTTGAAAGAATCCATGTTCTGGACAGTGAAAGGCTCTCTGGTGAAGGGAAAGCCCAGAGCACTCAGTCACTTTGGATTTCCAGCCTGGGTTCAAGATGTGGATGCAGCAGTGCACATAGCAAAAACAGGACGCACCCTCTTCTTTATGCATGACATTTACTGGAGGTAAGACAACAAATAAACAACATGCATCCAATCACATTCAGTTAAACATCGTCCCTACTGCACTTTGCTTTGCATGCACGTTCACACATCAAGGCATCTTACTTAAAGTTATTTAAACCAGCGGCATTACAGATTAGAATATTTTGCCCAGGGCAATACTTTTTTCATTTATGAGCACGGGGAAGTAGAGATGTAATGAATGCTTGTATGTGAGCACTACAGATTAAATTGGATCAAATTATACACCTTCTCTCTTATTTTAGCTTAAATAAGGTACTGTTTAAGAATTGTGCTTTGTTAATTGAAAGTATAAAGGCACAGCACAGCCAAATCACAAAGCACGTGTAGATACGGACATTAAAAAAGTTGAGTCAGATGTGACTACAGGATTTCCTCTTTCATTTGGACCTCACATGGAGAGCAAAGGGCTTAATTTGGCCTCGGAGGTTTGATGATCATCAACTTGCAACTGAAAAATGTTTTGTGTAAGCATTGGACAATAAAGAGATGATCGTGAGTCATAACTTCTGACAAACAGCATTGTGTCATTTTCAGTTACAATGAAAACCGAAAGGTGATGGATTTCGGTTACCCAAAGTACATCAGCGAGGGATTTCCCGGAGTCAATACCACATTAAACGCAGCTATTCATAAAGAGGGTGAGCAAATGTGACCATCTGTGCAGCTTGTTCACAGTTTATTTTCACTCAAATCTGTCTTGAAACTGAAAATGTTTAAACCACATAATATATCTACATATATATACAGTGCCCAAACTGAGTGATAGTCTTGTCTTGATTTAGGATGTAGTACTTCTGTCTGCAGCTTGACAGGCTTCTGCAAGTTGCATTGTTATAGTTGCACAGGAATGCTAATCTACATGCAACATCAACGGTGTGGAGTGGAGTTATTAAGAAACATGTGGTTCCCCTCTATGATTTAAACTGTATAATTTACCACTTAAAGTACTCCGTATAGTATACTGTAATTTCAGAAAGATACTCATAATTGCAATCATCATCATCATCATCATCATCATCATCATCATCAAGAAAGAGTAAAAATGATTCAAGACAACACAAAAAGGTGAACTATGTGAATCATTTTGTTTGTTTCTTGAAGTTTGTTCTTTTCTTTTTCTTTCTTTTTTTTTTTTTACCTTAGGTTTCATCTACTTCTTTGTCGGACCACAAGTCTACAAATACGACTACACACAGAAATATGTTGTTGGAGTTGAGACAGCAAATTCCTGGCTTGGCTGTTGAAATACTGGATGAAATCCATGCAACAAGGAATCTACCTGAAAACCTTGATTAAATTAAACAACACAAAGTGAAACACACTGTACTTCTCTGTTTTGAGTTGAGTTTTATTTATCAGTAGTCATATCTTATCAAAATAAAGAATTACAAATTAAAAGCTGATGATGTGTGTTAATGGTATTTGTATGTTCCCTGTGTTTCTTTGTTAATCATCCTCTGTGGTTTGTCTAACTGAAATTTTACAAATCTGGTGTAGAGTGAAATACAGATGAGGTTGAGCATAAATTAGGTTGCCTCACAAATGCTGACAAGTTTTAACTTGCCTGAGAAGAAGAAGAAAAAAAAACCCCAAACACTTATTCTTTCTGTGCTATGAAGCACACTGCACAGAGACGTCTGTCAGCATTACAGACAAAAAGCCCAGACATATGTAGACATTTCATTGGGAGGTTTTAACCACAAAACCTCCATAAAATTGGGGAAGATAGACCCAGCTGTAACAAACAGGACTGAGCACTTCTTTGCCATGTGATTGCCCAACAACCTCAAGAATACTCCCATATAAAAAATGTGAAGCCTGGTGGAAATGAGCATTTAAAACATGGAGTTGTTGTGGATGTGGATACCCGTTTTGGGCTCTCTGTTGTTTGTGGAAATCTCGTGGACTCTACCCATTGATGAGGACCAGCCGTTGAAGCGTGAGGACATGGAGCTGGCTGAGGTTTGTGGGCGGATAAAAATCTTGTAAAGTTTAGATAAAAACCATATAAATTCAAATCAAGTATCCCATTAGAAATGTTGGTGATTATACAAATTACAATCCATGTCTGTTGTACAGATTCTAGTTAAAATGATATAATTGTGTGTATTTTGTTAACTTAAATTATATCTACAATGTTTTCTTACCTATGTTACAAGTAATAAGGTTTACATCATATATTCAGCTCAGTCAAATCCAATCAACTATTGTTTTAGCTTTATAAATGCTTGGTATTGAAGTGTACATCTATAATTTTTCCACAATAACCGTCTGAGGAATCTATATTCACCAAAAGCTAGAAATAGAACACATGAAGTCTTTTAAATGAAACTGTGACTTAATTATCCAATTGGCAGATAGAAAATATGTACTGTAGAAACAATCATTTTATAACTTATCTTCTGTCTCATTGCAACTGATATACTGAGTTTTAATGAGCAGGAGCAGGAGGGAACTGAGAAATGACGGCAATTTCTGATGGCACCATAATTTAGTGGATGCAATTTAGGGGAATTATTTGTTTAAAATAATGAAGAAAGTCTGTCTTATATCACAAAAGCATTCTAAAAACATTAGTTTTGAACCCTACATTTAACACATACCACCTTATATTCTAATACTGTAACATATTAAAGTAAACATTATGAAAAAGCTAGTTGGAGATGCAGTTCAGTCATCTTGTCCTAAGTCTCCAGAACTGCACTCCTCATATTAACAGGGCTACCTGAAGAAGTTCTATGGTCTGAACGTCAGAGCTCAAGCAAGAAGGATCAGGTCTGCACCAGCAGTGAAGGAGAAAATCAAAGAAATGCAAAACTTCTTTGGTCTGAGAGAAACAGGTAACCTGGACTCTCTCACCCTGGATGTGATGAAGGAGCCGAGGTGTGGTGTTCCAGACGTGGACAACTTCAGCTTTTACCCCAATAAACCTAAATGGAAAAAGCACACCATCACATACACGTGAGATCACAGTTTACACTCACTATGCAATATTTTAAAAAGATTTTTTTTGTTTCTGGAGATAGTTTTTTGCCAACAGAGGATGTGTTAAAGTAGTTGTAGCAGCAGAGAACTTGTTGCTTCTGATGCCTCATGTTTATGTGTCTATTTTTGTCACTGGACTGCAGAACTTCCAAATATACTCCAGACATGAAGAGAGAGGATGTGGAAAAGTCCTTTCGTTTTGCTCTGAAGATGTGGAGCGATGCAGTTCCACTGAAGTTCATCAAAGTCAACCATGGCAAAGCTGATATAGTCTTCTCCTTCGCACGCGGAAGTAAATCTGTCTGAGGAGTGTCTTATCTTGTCTACTATGGTTTATCAACAGTAGAGATTCATTCATTGTCTTTCTGCCATAGCTCATGGAGACTTCTTTCCCTTTGATGGACCTCGGGGTGTTTTGGCTCATGCCTTTCAACCAGGAGAGGGGTTGGGTGGAGATGTGCATTTTGATGAGGATGAAACGTGGACTGCAGGGAGGCAAGGTCCGACAGTCAAAACATGTCTGTAATTCTGTAAAAAATAAATTAATAAACAAATAAATAAAGGACAACCTCAGCCAAGAATTTAAAAGCTACTGCAAAACAGTGCAATCTATGTTCTTAATTTTTTTCATAAATTCATTGTGTTTTCAATCATTTGAGTTAATATTTTCTTGCACATTAAATACCTAAACAAAATGTAAATAATTTCTATAAATCCACAGTGTCCGGACAGCTTTATGTGGCTCTTTCTGGGTTAAAACCTCAGACCACACCCCAAAAAGAAATGTCTTAGCAGGTATTGGCTCTTGGTAGCTGATGATGAGCACCTGGTATGCTGTCCACTGATAAAGCTGTGGCCAGAAGTAAAAATGACACTTTCAAACCCATAGACACTCTCACAGAAACAATGGTTCTTAAAAGGTTTGTTTTCCTTCTTTTTTTAAAGTTAGGCACCAAAATTACTTGTTTAGTATTGGGAAAAATGTCATAATTTGGGTTATAATACACCTCTTTTACTACACGTTTGAGACTTCTTCTCCATTTTCTGGGTTACCAGGGTAACAAGTCCCATCCCATCTAATATGTGATTGGTTGGCTGATGAGGACAGAAAGTACAGCAATAAAATACATGGCAAAGATATGTTGATAAGAAATGTATTTATGATATGTTGCAAATGAATGGAATCTGTCAGAAAATACATTTCCCTCAAAATGTAATTTAGAAGGCAGTGTGGCTGAACTGGGACACCATTTTGTGGAAACCTGGTTGAAAGGAACTGTTTTTTTCTAAAAGGTTCTTTAAGGCTCCTTTGGGGGTTCTTTAAAGAACTGTTTGCAGAAATGGCTCTTTAAAAACCTGTTGCTAAAAGCTTTTTGGGAAACTAAACCAGAATTCCTCTATGGCACCGCTACAAAGTACCATTTTTGGTTCTTGTAGGACATTAATTTTTCCGAATAGCAGCAGCAGCAGCTTTCAGTGTCATTCTGTGCTGACTTAAACTCAAATAAAATGTGTTTTTTCTCTTGTATTTCAGGTTACAGCCTGTTTGCTGTTGCAGCTCATGAGCTCGGTCACTCATTAGGTTTAACTCATTCTAGAGACCCCTCTGCTATCATGTACCCCAACTACAGACATCAAAGTCGCACACAGTACTCTCTATCTGCAGATGATGTGCTGGGGATCCAAACACTCTATGGTAAGGAATAATTTGCACATGTAAAATGATTTGATGAATATGGAACTAAAATTGTCAGAAACTTTTACACATTGTATGCAATATGTTGTGATTTTTCAGGCAAACCTGGCAAAAAAGTGGAATCCCAATCCTCTCTAAAAAAATGTGACCCCAACTTTTCTTTTGATGCAGCAACAATGTTTGACAATGAGATTATTTTCTTTAAAAACAGGTAATGTGTGCTTACAATTTGACTGCAAAACAGCTTAAATATTTTTGAACTGCAGCTGATTCTTGTTATTTTTATCCAGGTACATGTGGATGAGAACAACAAGGACGACTTATTGGAATCGCCTGACAGAGGGCCACAGCAGCACATATTTACCCAGCATCAGTTCTCACGTTGATGCTGCTTATGACATCCCAGCCAAAGGCGTGGTGTACATATTCACTGGTAGAGTAATGGGCAGTCTGCAAAGCATCACTTAGTCCTTGTCAGCATGACAAGGCTGGATTTCCAGTAGGAGAACACAATGTTGCACCCAAATTATAGCCTTGCGCAACTTAAGTGTCACTGCTCATGCAAGAGGCTCATTGCGTTTGGCAGTGCTTGTGGTATGTTGCTGTTTTTCATAGTGTCCCGAAATGCAGTGACATGGCTGTGTTTTTCCAGGTCATAAGTACTGGGTGGTTCAACAGCTTAAGATGAAAAGTCGTGCTGGTTCCATCCACGAGTATGGCTTCTCCTCCAGAGTCAGGCAGGTCGATGCTGCTGTGCACGTCAGTGAATATATGAAGACTATGTTCTTCATCGGAGAGTTCTATTACAGGTAACTTTGTAAAGTGCCAGTTGCCTCATACTTAATATAATTCTCTGTTTTAGTCTTGTATTTTTACATTATAAAAGATGACAACAGGAAAACCTACCCAGTAAAATTCAGTGCTAAGCTGTTGAAGTCAGCCACCCACTGAGCTGTTTATTACCGCTTTATCCAGTTTCAATACCACATGAAACTAACTAATTTAAGGCCAGAATAAATCATTATTAGCATTATTGCTTAACATACCAGTCACTTTCTCTATTGCTAGAATAGCTGCTCAATAAAATGTCAGAAAATAGCAATTTCCAAATCTAAAGTTATCATCTTCAAAATTGTTTTGTCTAATATTTCAAATCTTAAAGATGATCAGTTCACTGTAAAGTAAGCCAAAAGAAGCAGCAACGTCCCACATTTCACAAACTGGAGCCAGTAAACTTTTTCTTTCTTAAAAAAGGATTTAAGTTGTCAATGAATCATCAAAAATAATTAACTACACTGTAACTGTTATTCCCATTCAAGGACAGATTAAAGGACTGTTTCAATATTAGATTAGACATTTACACTATATCTGAATAGCATCAGCAAACACCGTCGAACCCAACACAGCAAAACACTTCTAGCTGTGGTGGAGAGTAACTAAGCACATTTACTTGTGTACTGTATTTAAGTACAATTCTGATGTAGTTACTTTAATTTTCTCTTTTATGCTACTTCATGCTTCCACTTTACTAAATTTCAGAGAGAAACATTGTACTTTCTGCACTGACAGTTTCAGTTACTTACAGATTAATATTTTAATACAATCAGTTTTAAAAATACAACATATTGTTAAAGATTAAACAACTTCAGATGTCCATGAGTTGCCAACAGCCACACCAAATAGGGATTTTCTCTCTAAACCTCTCACCTAATGTATTTGTTTTCATTTCAATAAATGTTCAAATCATCCAGTATCTCACCAAAAATCAAAGATTATAAAAAAAACAACAACAGATTTTTGTATTGGTACGTCAATTTTTCTTCCTACCTCTTCCTTTATTCAATTCACAACCCCTTAGATTTAATTGGTGTCCTTGTATATAATACTATACATAAAGCAGTTCAAACAAACTCCACCTGCAGCAGCTACAACAGTAACATGCTGCTGAGACACTGAGGTGAGGACACAATGACATAAATTATAATAAATCAGTGCTCTTGATACTTATGAACTTTAGTTTAAGTAGGATTTTTCATCCTGTTACACAGTATTTTTAAATTGTACTTTCTTAAGTAAAGGAATTAAATTCCACCTCCACCACAGAATTCTAGTATGGACAAATAAACAAAAACACAGAATTAATTTTGCACTGCAGAAAACACACTGATATATATACACACGAAAAAAAAGCCACTAAAAATGTATTTATTTGAATGATATAACTACAGGTATGATGAGCAGAAGAGACAGATGGATCCTGGCTTCCCCAGACTTATCCAAACTGACTGGCCTGGAATCCCAAGAAGAGTCGATGCTGCATTTAAGTTAAATGGTAAAAAACACAAGGGAAACGCACTTTATGAACTCATGAACTTTGTATACTGTGGACCTGAGCTGCAAGATACAAATAGAATCCAACTGAAATAGAAGTTGTAATTTCTTGTTTTTACCATGTTTAGGTGGCAGACGGGTGGAGTTTACCGCACCGGACACACTTTTATACTGAAAACACCATTTGCCCCTGTTTTAGAACAATGCGTTATACAAGTTAAAGATTTACACAAGCTAAACTTTGTTGTTCACATTGCACTTCGTGTATTTTGAAACAACACAAACAGCCATTATACTGTATGAACACACAGACATACATCTGACATTTAAACACTTTGCATGTGAATTACAAGTGGAACAAAAGTCTTTTATTTGAAATTTTAAAAACATCTTTGTATGCTTCTCTGTTTACAGGTAGCATCTTCCTCCTCAGTGGGACAAAATCCTACCAGTATGACTTCAGACTGAAGCGGGTGGTGAAAGTGATTTCAGGAAATTCTTGGCTGGGATGTTGAGTTGAGTGTGCATCTTTTGTTTTTTTAATAATTAAAGCAAACCCTGAGAAGGTTGTTTGTGTAGTTGTTAAACTGAGATAACTTTTAAGTGTTAAAGTTCAGATTTTGGGACGTATGTGTAACTGTATGCAAATTGTATCTCTCATGTCCCTTCGGAACACAATGTTACTTAGACCACTAATGTGCATGGATATACTGTACTACTAATGTGAAAGTCTAATGCAAAGTGTATAATTTTTAAAAAAATATTGTCAACTTCATTATACTTTTGTACTCCCGTGCTTTAAGTTTTAGCGTACTAATTTAATTGTATGTTTAACTGTATGTTAACCTGGGGTGACAGAGCTTTCTCTGTCACTGCCGCCACCCTCTGGAACTCCATACCACCAAACATCCGTAACTGCCCGAACCTGTCCACCTTCAAATCACTCACCAAAACTCACCTCTACAAAAATGCTTTTAATATATGATTGCTTTTAAATGCACTCAATGCTTTTTGCGGTTGTTTTTACTTTTTGTTGTTTTTATTCACTGTGCAGTGTCTTTGAGTGTTCGGAAAAGCGCTTTCTAAATAAAATGTATTATTATTATTATTACATTTTAATGCCTTTATTCCAGTGGTTAGTGAAGAGGGACAGGAAAGGTAGGGAGTAGAGTGGGGAAGGACATTATTATTATTATTATTATTA